AGTCCCCGACACCTTGCCCTGCCGGTACCGCCCCGTCCTTCGACCCCACGTGGTCCCCGACACTTTGCCCCGCCGGCACGACCCCTCTTCTTAGCCCCCTGTGACCCCCGACACTATTGCCGCACCTGTACCATGTCTTTTCCTTGGGCTCCTGACGTCCTTCCACCTTACGGCGATCGCTGCTCCCCATACCTCTCGCGTCCCGCACGCTGTTCCGCTCCGGATGTCGACTCTCACCTAACCTGCAGCCTCCTTGGCCCTCTTGCCGCTACGTCTTGGCGGCCCATCTGGTCAGGTCCTCTTTTTCCTTGTGCCGGCACCTTGCGTCTTAATTCCCCTCCCCGTTTCTTCTCTCTCCCTGCCACGTGCCTCCTACGCCGCTACTTTTTACTGGTTTTCTGGTGGTCCTCTGCCAGTCCTGTTTTCGTCCATGCCTCCTCACTTCGGGGGTCTCGACGATTTCGGGCAGCCTCGAGCTCCCTAGTGCCTGCGCTCACGCTCCCAGCTCTTTCCGCACTATTGCCCGGTTTTCTCTACCGTGCACAAATCTGCCATATACGGTCTCTCGAGTGATGGGAATTCATTCGGGACTCGCCAGTCCCCACACATTCCCCCCACTCATTCGCGATGTCCTCATCGCGCACCAATCCATAGTTAGTGGGGGGGTTTGGGGCGATAGACAGGCGGGGAAGGAGGGGGGGAGGGGTGAGATGGGTAGTTAGTTTGCCAGGGTACTTTGTGTCCTTTTTCCTTTCCTTCCTTGGGGTTTTTCTTTAGTTTCCGCCCCTTGGGGTGGAGGGGGGGGGTATGGGGGGGTCAGGGTTCTGTTTTCGGGCTTCCTTTGGATTGCGTAATGTCCCCAAGCTCAATAATGTCTTTGTATTGAGCGCGTAACACTCTCTATGCATCAACGTCCGTCTCACAGCTGTATCTCTTTCTCACTGGAACTCCCAAATACTTGAGGGCCTTCCCACAACCTTTAGTATCGTTCCACACGGGAGGGAACGACACGCCCATCACCCTCCCCGGGACCGAGGCAGCATCATCCTTTGGGGGGGGTCCGACAATAGACATGTCTTACAGTTAGTTTTTCATTGTACGTTATTTCTCACTCTCGACAATGTCTTGAAGGTTGCATTCGTAATCTCAAATCATTCTTCCCATTTTATTGAGAAAACATTCTCGAGCGGAACCTTTTGGTTTCGATGCATTTTCCCAGATTGCTTTCTCCGGCTTTTCTCAGGTCCTGCCAATTCTGCATGCATCTCACCCCCTTTTTCCTTTCTTGTTTCTTTACTTGGTTGGCGTGTCAGTTGGCTCATTCCTCATACCTCTCTCTTCTTAGACCTCTTATCAAGCCTTCTCCTCAAGTCCATGCAATACCAATTACTTGCCCATTCTCGTCCTGCTTGGTCCATACAAAGTTAATCATGCCAATCTTTTCCTTCCCAATCATCCTGCCAGGCTCATTTCTTGGGCTCATACCAACCGCTTGCTCAAGTCTTTTCTGCTCTAGGCACCCCGCCAGGCCCCCCCTTTTCTTAGGCCCATGCAAAACCCAAATACAGGTATTTTTCCATGCGTATTTATTGGTAGATGGCACGCCTTCCCCCCACTCAAAATGCGATGTCCCCATCGCACGACTGGTTCGCACTCGGAGGTACGCAGACCTTTGGCCCGCCGACCGCAAGTCAAGGATACAAGCTCGTCCACATCACAAAAGAAAGGGTGATCAGTCCTTCCCCGATGGACGACGCCTCATCCTTCTACCCGGTCCGACCTTTCTTCTCTTACGTGGCGAGCACCGATACCAAGGTTCCACCTCACGTCTGTTAGGCAGGTCCAATCCAAGCCTTCCAGGGCCTCGTCTAGCCGTAAGAGCGTTCCTCGCGAATCGTTCCTCCCGAGTGATGGTTTTCTGGATTCCGGCCTCTTCCTTTCAAGAGAGTTGGGGCTCTCGATCAGTTCGCGAGTGCAGCTACGAAGACCTCGCAATTAGTCCCGAAACGGTTGTAATGTTCCGGCAGGGCAGTGTCAATGCCCCGTGGTGGCCGCGGACTCCACCCGGTACTCCGCCAAGCCTCTCCCCTTGGACATTGCCGCCCAACTTAGCGCAGGCAGCCGTGGTTCGGCCCAAATGGCCATGCCACCCCTCTATGACATGGCGTGTGGTTGGAGAGTAGCAAAATAGACTAGATGAGAATGGCTTTCCTGCCCATTTGGCTCTCTCACCCTTTGACGTTCAGGCATTCAACAGGAGGCGCAGTTGAAACTCCCCGATTAGAGTTCATTGTCGGAGGTGGTTCCGGACGTCCCGCACCGGTCCAGGTGGTAGGTGCCTTAGTCCTTTAACCCTCATCCTCTTACAAGAGGAACAGGTCGCGCTGAGACTTTTTCCCTCACGGAGATAGAGGTCTTTGGGGTCGCGGTGCATGCACCGGTATCCCCCGCTTGCTGAGGCCAAAGACTAGAAAAGACGAGATCCATTTCAATGCCATTTCCAAGTCCATTTCAAGTTGCCTAGGGTCCCCTGCTTATGCAATGCAATTTCCAAATCTCAATCCAGTTCCAATGCTCCGTCTCATTCCCATAGTCGATCTCGTTCCAATGCTCAATCCAATTCCAGGGCTCAATCCAATTCCAATGCTCAATCCAATATCTCTTCCAAGGCTGAGTCCAATATCTTTTCCAAGGCTGAGTTCTTCCAATCTCTTTTCCAAAGCTCAACTTTTCCAATTCCATGCATCACAAGCAGCCATGCAAGGGGACCCCAGTGCCAATTCCAAAGAGTGACCCTTATCAGGGGCCACTCCGAACAACCTGGTTAGGGTCGTTCTTTCAATTTCAAAGTCGAACAGCCTGGTTAGGGCCATTCTTATCCATTGCAATCGGACAGTCTGGTTAGGACCATCCTTATCTCTTTCAATTGGGCAGCCTGATTAGGGCCATCCTTGTCCATTTCAATGTTAGCGCCCGAGGGGGTGGGCCTCGAGGACACGGATCCTATCTCGTCTCGGGGCTTAGAAGGCGGCCATCGTCTTGGGTTTTTACGCATGCTTCTTCCTTTCCTCATGCCTTTTGTCATACTTACATCCATCCATACATCGGACTTATCGTCTAGTACTCAAGTTGAGGCTCGCGGCCCTAAGCAGCACTAGCCCGCCCGGCCGTTCAACCATTACAAGGCATGCTGGTTCATTTCAATGTTCCTTCCGCTCTTCCGGCTTCTCATAACATCTCAATGCTCTGGACTTGTCTGGGATAAGTTGGATTAGGCTCCTAGGGAAGAGGATGCCTCTTTACCCGTAGGTCCCCTAACCTCTCACAGGGACTCGTGCAATGACTCATTCAGTCCTAGATACACGATTTTAAAGGAAAAACTCTCGCCATGACTGCATCTTCCATTGTTCAAGAGTTCACATGCCCCTGCCTATTTCCTTGAGGCAAAGTCGATCATCCCCAAAGTCTGTTTGTTACTGCCAGAAAGAGCTCACATTTCCCCCCCCCCAAAGAGGCGAATACTTATACAAAGTAGCACAAGCCTCCCAACCCCCACTAATTTCCTGGATCCAAAGAAAGTAGTTTCATTACAGTCCTTCAAAAAGGAGGAGACAAAGTTCGAATGCAACGACAACATTACAGACTTGTCTCATCTAGGTGCCCCTTGCTTTCCCCTTGCTCACTCTTAGCCAAAGCCACCCATTATAGTTCTATATCTAAATGCACTGATTCTCATGTGTTTTTCCCGAAGAAGCAAGGACATATAAGAAGTATCGCCCATTGCCCAGTCCTTAGTCAAAAAGTTGTCTCATTTCAATCCATTCAGCAGAATTCAAATGCGGAATTCAAAACGGCAGTTGTACCTGCCCAGGTACCAACCCTTCCCAATTTCCAGCTACCCCCCCATTGCGTCTGCTATTCCCCTAATGTCCAGGTGGCCTGCGTCGGACCTCCTCCCTTGCACGGTCCTCCGATTCGTGCTGCATTAGCCTCTTTATCGCCTGCAAGTAAATGAGAGTCTCTTCTGAGAAAAATGTTGTTGGGGATATATCCTGTCCCCTGCGCAGCTTTTCCCTTGCCTTCATTATCCATTGATATCGCAAGATAGCGCCCCATTGATCAAACCAATCGCTGAACTCATCCCCGAACTCCTCTATCCATTTATCCTCCTTTTCACCCGGTTCCTCCCCTCTTCCCCGTTCCTCTCTGGTGGGCGTTGTTACTTCCTATTCTTCTTCATCGCTAGTAAGGTCGATGAACTCAACGGGGTCATTCTCCCCCGGCCGCTGTCCCTGCTCTGGGTTCTCCTCCTCCAACCTTGGCCTTTTCCCCGGGTTCCTCTCTTCCTCGCTGTTGGTATCGCTTTCGGAGGGGAGGACTATTGGCTCCCCCTCCCTTGGTGGTGAAGGTCCCCTAGTCCCTTGCTTTCTTCCTCCCCTGTTCACAACCAGGTTGTCATCGAACCCCACATATAACTTCCTCTTCCTGGAGCTTGATTCCCCGGCCTGCCTCGATGACTGTCCCTCATTAGGCCTATTGATGGCGTTGCTGTCATTCTCATTTCCAAACTCCATTTTGCCGTTTGCTGTTTTCTCCTTGCGCGGTCCTGTTCATGCATATCAGTTGTTGCAACCCCTCATACACACGCATTCCCTTCCACTCCCATTCGCAGCTTTGGAGGCTTCCCTAGAACCCTTGTTTGCCCCCATGTAGTTGGTAGTCCCATTATCCCTTAGGACTCTCAGCACAATGTCCCAACACATAAGTACCCCATGTAGATAGTCCACATCATCACCCCACAAAAACTATGGTACATTGTCCCAACACATCGGTGCCCCATGTAGGCAGTCCACAGCCTCACCCCACAAAAACTATGGTACGTCCCGTGTTCCCAAGCCCAGTCACAGTCAGCCCAGGCAGTCTCCCCACGTTCCACAAAAAACAAGACACGCAAAAGAACAATCCCTGTGGTCATGATCACTCCCACAGGGAGGCGGTCTAGAACTCATAGCCAGTTTCCTGCCTTTCAGATTGTCAATTCCCCACTTTCCCTGTCCTGAGCTTCTTGTAACCATTGTTCCACCGGATCCCTGCTAAAAGATCGGGTTAATCTCTGCCCCGGAAATGGTCCTCTTATGCTAGTACCATCAAGATCCTCAAGTTCGAACGCATTCAGTCCCACCCGTTTAGCAATCATGTAAGGCCCTTTGAATCTCTTCCCCAGCTGCCCAGACCATGAGCTTTCAAGGGCCGAGTTTCTAACTAGCACGTTCTCCCCCACTTGGAGTGGCTCCTTCCGAATGTTCTTGACCTGATCCCACCTTGCTTTGTCCTTCATTTGGCTATCCGTTACACGGTTGACTACTTCCTCCAGTGCTTCCTCATTCCTGGCGACCTGCTGGCAACGTGTAGTGATTAACTCTTTCGTGGTCAGGTGCGGATTATCGTCTAATCTGTTCCAGGTAGGGATGAGGGCCTCCACTGGGAAGTCAATCTCCCTTTCGTACCATAGCTCTGCTGGGATGCATCCCGTCGTTCTCTTTGGTGTCATGTTCTCAGCGAAGACTGCCTGCTTAAGGTACCGTGGCCAGCTTCCCAAGTTGTCTGCTGCAAGTTTAGCGATTGTGTTTTTTAAGGTCCGGTGCCCCCTTTCTACTGGTGCATTTGCCTCGGGGTGATAGGGCTCAGTGATCTTGATTGGTACGCACAGTGCCTTAAGCCTGCTCAACACCTCCTGGTTAACGAATTTTGTCCCATTGTCTGCTATAAACCTGCGCATGAAGGGGTGTCTTAAGTAGAAATCTTCCACCCAATCAGCCACTGCTTTCCCTGTCTTCCTCTTGAGAGCTACGGCCTCTACATAACCACTGAGATTGTCCCTCGCATCCAGGATGTACCTGAACCCATCCGTCGATACGGGCATGACCGCAAGATCAAGGTGAACAAGGTGGCCGGGTCCCAGTACCCGTGTGGGTCTAAGTGGCTCGTAAATTCGCACGGAGCTCCATTCTTGGCATATCAAACACGTCTGACAGTACGTCGCGACCATGCCTGCCATTCCTGGCCAGAAGTACAGGGGCACGATCTTTGCAAGTGTCCCCTCAGACGACCGGTTACCTCCAACTAGCCCATCATGCATTGCCTGAATTACGTCCAGCTGCCTGGACCTCCCACAAACGACACGTCTAGGCATCATCCCTTCCTCTTTCTTGAACAGCTGGTCGTTTCTTAGGACATACGTTTCGACTTCCTCCCTTGCCTTGGGACTAACTTCCGTGGGCTGTTTGTTCCCTACAAGCATCAGGTCGATTTCTCTAAAGACGCCCTCGTACATCTGTATGAGGAAGAATTCTTGTTCCTTCTGATCCGTACCCTGCTCCTCCCGGGTCTGGTTGACTAGGTACTGGCACTCCTTCTGTGCCCAAGTTTTGGCCAACGTCATCACGGCGTCCCCTCCCCCTTCCACGGCCATTGCCATCAGTTCCTCTCTGGTCCCTAAATCTGCTCCCCAAGAGTCATTTTCCTCTTTGCGTCTAACTGTGGTGGCTGGTCCTTCCCTGAGTTCTGCAACTACCGCAGGTGTGCCCTTTTCCAAAGTCTGAATCAGCAGCTGACCCGTTGTAAGTGTTGCGTCGGCCATTTCGTTATCCACCACAAAGTCCCCCCTTCGTAATCTAGGAAGGCGTCAATTGGTTCCACGTCCTCTATTCCCTTTGGCGTGATGCATACCCTACTCAGCCCGTCTGCCCTGTTGCGAAGCCCCGCGATCCACTCGACCTTGTAGTCGAACTGCCATATGAAGCCTATCCATCTGCCGACGGTCGGATCTATAGGCTTGTAATTCTTCAGTGCCCCGGCAACATTGGTGGGATCAATCCTTAAGGTGAATCGCCTCCCGAAAAGATATGCCTGGAAGGTCTTTAGGCAATGTAGGATGGCTAAGACCTCCTTCTTGAACTGCGAGTACCGCCGTTCTGCTGAATTCAAGGTCCTACTCTCAAATCTGATTGGTCTTTCCTTGCCCTCCTCGCTTTTCTGTATCAATTCGCCTCCTACTGCCATTGGGCCACCGTTTGTCTCTAGGATGAAGGGTCGTCCTACTTCGTCATTGAAGCAGGGTGCTGCTAAGATAACCTACTCGGACGACAGGATGTCTTTCAAGGTCTGGGCTGCCTCTTCCCTGTCCTCGGTCCAATCCATGGTGCCACCCTCCCTAATCATCGCGCGGATAGGTTATGCTATCTTTGCGAAACCCTTTATGAAGATCCTCCAGAATCCAACCACCCCTAGGAAGGCTGGTACTCCCGTCGTAGTACGTAGGGGTGTCGGCCATTGAGAGATCTTATCTGTCTTTGCTGGGTTGGGTCTCCTCCCATAGGCCCCACAGCGAAATCCCAGTATAGTTACCTCCGGGACAGCCAGGAGACTTTTCGGCCCACTTGCGGTAATATTATAGATTAAGAACCGCTGTAGGAGATCCTTGATATCCTGCAGGTGATCCCAGATAAATTTTCGCACACCTGGCTCGACCTTCGTCTCGTCTTTGTACCTTGCGCCTTTTACGGGGTTATCATCTATGTATGGCTCGCACTTTTCTGGAAACATATCGCCTGTGACGGCGAGCATCCTCCTCTGCGCCTCTGCTACCGCATTTGTGAAACCCATAGGGGTCACTTGCATCTGCAACTGTCCTACGGGGGTGTGCATTGCGGTGTACGGTCTATCCCTCGCATCGAGTGGCAGCTGATCATATCCTGAGTACAAGTCTACCAGGGAGTAAATGCTCCGCCCCGCATGAGATTCTGCCAGCAAGTCGGCCTGTGGAAGCGAGCCTGCGTCCCTAATTGTTACCGCATTGAGCTTCTGCAGGTCCTGGATCCACCTAAGCGTCTTATTGGGCTTCCTGAACACGAACCACTTGTTCGCGTAGGGGGATGCGGTGGGTTTAGCCATGGAAGAATCTATCTTGGCTCTAAGTAGGTCGATGACTTCCGCTGCTATCCCAAACTCATAGGCGGAACCTTTATCATTCCAACACTCGTGCTGTACGGTGTGGATCCTGACAGGGGGAACTAGCTTTGTGTCCAATCGCCCTTTCTGATAATCGTTGAAAGCGAAGACTAAATGAAACTCCTGACATGTCTTTCTTATCATCTGAGTTTCTTCCGGTGTTAGGAACCCTTCCACTCCTATTTTCATGGTATCTGCTACGTCCTCTGGTATATGGTGACCTTCCATTGAGCGTCTCTCCCTTATAACCCGTAGGATCTCCTCTTCTTTTTCCATGGCCTCTTCCCTAGATGTTTCTATTAGGATCGAGACCGGCTTGGCCTTCTTCCCTACGTGTTTGTATTTTCGCACACTGCCTCTGGGATCGTTCTCCTAAAAAATGAACGGTTGGGATCGGCCTTGCTTCCTCCAAAGGGCGGGGCTGGATGCTGAACAGTTTCCCATTCAGACAGTAGCCCTTTCGGACCCCATCCTCGAATCTGGTAAGCGCTACGGGGTCCAGCCCCACTTTGTGGTACTTGATGGCCTTAACGAGTTGTAATAGATCTGGGACTTCAAGCACCACCTCCGTCGTTTCATTCCGACCTTCCTTTGGTTTGGGCAGGCTGGCCCCAAGTTCGACTTTCGACTCTTTTTCTGCCACCATAACTTCCAGGGCCTCGTCTTCTTGCTTCCTCTTCTTCTGGGGTAAACCCATTTTAATCCATTCCTTTTTACTAAACGCTTCCTCAATCATAATTTCTACCCTTTCCCTCATGCCTTGCATTCGTGCGAATGCGCCCTTTCGTGCGCTTTCTTCAAATGTCGGTGACCAGGTTGCCAATTTACCCCTGTGAGGGTCCCCTCCAGTTCCGAGGAGTCGGAGAAGTTCTCCGTGACCAGTCACCGGATCCTCTATGTCTACCATATATGTGCCATCATGCAGGTTCATGCCAATCATTTCTACGTTGGCGCACCAGGGTCACCCGAGGATTATGTCATGGTCCATTTCTTCCATGACAGTCATCCGTTGAAAAAACCAGATGGATTCCCGAATCCCTGCCTTGACTGCGCATTTGGTGACATACCCAGTGAAGGGAATTTCTCCCCTTGCTCCCTGGATACTCCCTGCTACTTCCTTGTTCACTGTGCACCCTGTGATCATTGCAAAATCCCGTCATATGAGGGTGATTTCCGCGCCGCCATCCACATATGCCCGATCAGGGTGCAATACTTGCATTGTTCGTTGGTCGGGTCTCTCCTGCCAAATCCCCGGTTTGCTACAGCTGCCGGGACCACGGCTTCTTGGGGCGGGAGGGCGGGTTGGGCTACTTGCGCCTGCATCACTAATAGCGCACTTTCCATTCTTTCTATCTTGTTATCAACCCCGTGCACCCTTTCATGCAGGCTCTCTATTCCCTTTTTGACCTTATCCCCCGTTTTCCCGGTCAGGTCTATAACCTCCCCTTCCTTGAGCAGGGCCAGGGTCTCAGTTACCACTGTTTTCTCTGCAAGGTTTGTTACCGCACTGAAATCCACATCCCTTGCGTATTCAAACTTGCTGGTCTACTGGTATGCTGACAGAATCTTATCCTTGTCAAACTCGGAGAACTACCTGAGGAAGTATTTATTCATTATGCGGTCCGTTACCCCAGGAATTCGGAGCACCACTAGCGTAAACGCCCTTAGGAAATCATTGTAAGTCGCATAGTTTTTCCTCTGGACTGCTTCTAATTCGGCCTCTGTTGCCATTTTCTCTGCCTTCAGATATTTCCTCATCATCTCGTTCCTGGTTTCTTTCCAGGATCCACTGGACGCGACGATGGCCATAATGTCCCTTCCCAAGCTTAGCGACACGTGCTGCCCTAGGTGCTCCATCTTTTCTTCTTTCGTCCATTTTAGTAAGGCTGCTAGGTTCTCATAGTCTATCAGGAACTCCGTAATGTTTGCCCCATCGAACGTGAGTTTCTTCTTTGCATTTGCGAGATATCCCTGGTTCTTATTTAACGCCCGGGTGAGGGTGGTGACTATCCTCTTGAGACCACCCTCGGAGCTACCTGCTTCTCCAGTTGCGCTGGTCCCTTCCCCTTCCTTACTTTCCCTCTGCTTTTCCCTGGTTTTCGGCGTTCCTTCTGGGTCAAACCATCCTAGCACCCTTTCCCTAAGGCTCCAGAGTCCGTCACATGCCCCTGTCACTTTTGGCGTGGCTGGCAGTTGGTTAGTGCCGCTGTCAATGGCGGGCGGGGTCATAGCGTTTTCCGCACCCTCCACCGGGGGGTCGTTCTTGTCCTTCCCCTTCTTGCTAGGCGTTTCTTTGCGACTATTATCCTTCCCCTCGTACCTAGGCTCGTCCTGACCGGCCCTGCGTCCCTCATGTCATCCTGCGCCCTGGGGGTCCTCCTCATCCTCGGCCATCATCTGCTCGATGAGTCTTGCCTTGAACTCTACAGTCCGCTTTTCTATGTCTGCCAATTTACGACTGGTATCCGAAACTTTTGTCTTTTTAGGAGTGATTCCTGCTGAGCTCCGCGGGCTTGTTCTCAAATTGTTTCCCCCTTCCTTGTTTTCCTGAGGACCTCTTTTGTTACCTCCGGCTTTCCCCAAGCTTTCTCCAGTTGAGAAGTCCTTTCCGTCTTCTCGGGTTCCCTACAGTTTGGCCGACTCTCGATCCCTTGCTGATCCCTCGTTTCGTTCCCCATCCCCATTTGTGCCCTGATTCCCTCCGCTCTGCTGGTCATCGATCCCTTCCTCAGTTGCCATTTCTTTACCTAGCCTGCACCTGGAAAGAATTTTTTTGCGAAAAATGGCCGGTTGTTCATAACTGCCCTAGTTCCGGCCCTGAAGCCCGCCTATTCCCATGTTTTTGCGTCTTACATTAATCAGTACGACTCTTCTGACTTTTCTTTCCCGGGGGGCGTCCTTCAGGTTTACTTCTACCAGGCCTTGCTGCTGCCGCTCGGCATTCTCTTACTGTCGCGCTTAGATTCTTAGGGCGATGCCTGAGCCTAGTGGCTTTCCTATCGGGTATGGCCCTTTTGGCTGATTGGCATCCAGGTGCCCCAAAATTTTTGGAGCGGGTGGTCTTCCTAGTTCCTCCCTGCCGCATCACTGGGTCGCCCGAAACTCCAACCACTGCCCTTCTTTTGCTGATGGCTGCCTACTTATCTTAGTACCTATCCTTTATTTCCCTACCTCTTCCTGACGCGTTCTCTCACGCTGGTCCCTCAGGCCTACCCTGTTCATCTGGTTCCTCGAACAGGTCAGCCAACCCTGCCAAGTAATTTTCCCCCATCTCTATTTCCCTGATAATTATTGGCTCATATTCTTCAAACGACAGGTGCGGCAAACCGAATATCAGGATCTCGAGTAATTCGAGTAGCTCCCAGGCCTGATTTCCCCAAAACGGCCCATATCTGACCGACACATCGTAGAACATGCTCGTTGTTTGTGGCTGGAAGAGGTGGATCCAGACCAGTGTCGAGCCCACCAGGTCCCTAACTCTCTTGAGGCTACCGAATACCAAGTCCACCATGAAACGAGGTACTCGACACCTCAACCCGGTCATTGGGGCCTTAAACTCCCGCCAGCCTCCGACCTCCACCCGGGTCCTCAAACCCACGTTTCTTCTCCCTCGCACCTCCTGACCCACCCTGTTTAACATCCTAGTGGCCCTTTGGAAGATTGGTAGCAGTCCGTGGCCTAGTGCCAATTCCGTTCCTAACATGTACCATCCAATCTTTGGCAGGTATACAGTCCCCGTCACCTTAAGATTGGTGTACAGATCGTCTCCCGGTCCCCTGTCGATCCTCATACCATCCCAAAAACATTCCACCATCATGAGTGCCTGACCCCTTCCCAAGGTCACGACCCTCCATTCTGTATCCAGTCCTTGAATCACGTAGCTTGCTGGGAGCGATACCTCCCATCCACCTCCACTTTCCGTGGGTGGCCGCGGGTGCATAGGCCGTCGTAACATCCGGGCGCGTCTCATCGCCATTTTTGACTTAGTGGTTCCCTGCACAGTTCAAACAGCAAGCGGATTTACTTATTTCATTTCGTCTTTGACTTCCGCTCGAACACTCCCTGGTCTCTAGCTTGAACCTTCTTTTCCTCCCTTTCCCTTAACCCTTCTCTTTTACTGCTCCGTCCCTACTTCCATCGGCTCATACAATCGGTACAAATCATCCACGTACACCATCCCTTGACTTATTTCCCATCGGACAACACCCCACAAAACTCCGCTGCTAACGACCGGAGCCCTTGGTCTGGTACAAAACACAGCGTGTAGGACGCGTAACACCTCGTACCTCCGCTCTCCACTAAACGGCCCCATTTCCAAGAAGGCCCGGTAGTATTCTCGATATACCATCACATCTTCATATGTCTGCTTCGCAAGGGCTGCTACTGCTCTTCTAACAAGCTCCAACCCGCCCAATCTCTCCAGCAGGAAGGGCAGCAGCCTCATCCGCACATTTTCGCTAGGCAATTCAAAACTCCCGACCATGGCTACTCTAAGGTTTGCTGTTACATCATCGACCCCCGGGTCTGCGAACTCAAACCCAGCCTGCCAAACTAACTGCCATGCCCCTTCAAACATACTTAATGGGTCCTCTCCTGATGCCAGCCGAATGCCGAACTCCCTCCACCCATCTTCCGACATATACAATCGCCCTTCCGCCCGGACATGTCCCCGCGGGTCCGGGTTCCATTCTCCGTTCTCGTCTGCACGCCATTCAACCCTCGTTACTAGGTAAACCAAGTTCTCCATGAGTTCAACCCCTACCCAGTCTACCACCGGGTGCCGACCCTCATTTGTGGCGGGCAGGTTGATCTCTATCCTACCGTCTACCTCCCTAGGCGGCTCAATGCCCAGCGGGCGGTCCTCAAGAAACGTCCTTCGTCGTGCCATCTGCGCTCTCGTCCTTGGTCTTCTCTCTCGCTGCTCACACCGAGACCTACACCGGCCAGACATCCCCATCCCCTTATCTCAGCAGTTTCTCTCGTACTTGCCTGGCCTCGCGGCTCTTACCGCTCTTTTAGTCAAACCACATCACTTCAAACAGTGTGAACACATCATCCACATAGCATGGTGTCGCCGCTGTTTCCCGACGCATTATGGCATCCCAGGTTTCCGGGGCCACTTCCAGCCGATCCTCCCTATTAATGTTCAGGATGATGAGGACCTCCCGGGCTCTGTCGCCGTGGAATGGTCCAAACTTTAAAGATGTTCTATAAAATTCTTCTGCCAATCCCACGTCGCTTATGTGTGCTCGTTCCATAGTGCCGACCACTTCCGCGACGTGGTCAAAACCCCCGAACCAGTCTGCCACGAAGTCTGGTACCCAGGTCTTGGTTCGGACGCAAGGCGGTTTAAATTCCTTCCATCCCCCCATCACGACCCTACTACTGACCTCATCCCATCCCTTGTTGGCGAACCTTTCACCTGCCTCCCATGTCTTCGTCTCGACACCCTCCAGGAGCCACATCGGGTCCTGTCCTGCCGCGAGCGAGGTGCCATCCTTGTTCCGACAAGACGACCCGCCCCACGGACTCTATTTCCCTTCCGCAATATCGTCCCATCCTTCCTCTTCCCTCAACGGGTTCCAGACACATTCTATCCATAGATAGGATAGTTCCGGTACGATCTCATACCCCCGCCAGTCACACGTGGCCCCCTTCCATTCATCACTCATTGGTAAAGACATTTCTACTCCCCTTCCGACTCGTTTTGGGTCCCACGTGCAATCCCATAGCAAAAATTCCCGGGCCATCGCTCCTACTTGCACATAGTCGACAGTCCATTCCCGGGTAAGTCCCCATCCCCGTTCTCAGAAGTCCCAGTCCTCTATCTCGTCCCCATCCTCACTCTCATCGTCACTGAAACCCTCCTCTTCTTGCGGGAAAAGCTCCTTTAGACCTTCTAAGAAAGTTTCCCCTGCCGCCACATTTCGATAGATTATCTGCCAATGCACCGGGCTAGAAACGAAGATCTCATCCGCGCTGAGGAGGTTTAGTACCTCAGCTAGTTCCTCTGCCCAGTTCCCTTCGAACGGCCCCGCCTCCACTGACAGCTTAAAGAAGTCCTGCCAGGTGCACTGGTACAGCCTAAGGTGCGTCATTGATCGACATATCTGCTCCAGCCTACCCCTGGTCCCAAAGACCGCATCCACCAAAAACGGGGGTAGCACATACCTCATTGTTCTAAGGGGCCGTCTCATACTCTTTCTGTCCCCGAGTTCCACTCGCACATCTATCTTATCCATTTCCATTTTCGCCCGCTGACACGCTGCCCATGCCATCTCCCGCTCCGCTTGTCTAAACAGCTTTGTCGGTGCCACGCCCAATACCAACCCTATTACCACTTCATTTTCCAGGTCCTGGGATAGATAGACCCACCCTCGGGCTTCCACCGTCCCCCGGAACTCTAAGTCCATCAAACTTGGTGAGAGTCTCGTCAGGTTGACCTTAGTCCAAATCGTCTCTATCCAGAGGAACGCGTCCTTCTCGTCCAGCATCACAGTTTCATAGGCTGGTTCCAGGTCCGTCCACGTCCCTTCCTCCGGGAGAACAACAGACAGCCCTTCCCTTACGTCTATTGGTATTTCCGGATCGCTAGAATAGACAGGGGGTGACAACCATCGCACCATCTTATTGGTCAGCTCCCGTCCTGTTTTTCACAAGAGAGCACCACATGGCCCCTCTTCGATCAGATTGCCGCCTTTTCCTAGATGAGGATTGTTTTCAAACCCCCTTCATCCGGATCTCCCTAACCCTCCCTACCCATTTCCCAGAGATCGCTACCCAATCATTCCCTTCACCGATCCCCAACAACCGGCATTCCTTTCCCTTGGTTCTCTTTTCCTTCCGACTCCTATCCAGCCTCACTCTCATGTTCTCTCACTCGTGCAGACTCAGGCAGGGGTGAGAATAGACCAGAAGCTCAGTCCCCCTCCCAACACATATTCAGGCAAGCTTTCACAGAGGAAGGCACAAAAGGAAAACTCAAGCAGACGTCGCACACAGACCGGTCATCTCCTCATCGGCCTTTCCCCGAAAGTGGTCTCTCCTCTACCATCGGCAGGGTCTCAACCCGCACCTCAAGCACAGCTCAACCGTCGCGAGCGCGGTACCCAGGCTCCGGCAAGGCATTAGCCCTTTCCTTGTACCCAGAATACCCCGTCCCGGCTTGCCGCTCGCGTACCCACCGTTAATCTCGGGAATCACCCCGCACATCTCGGTAGGGCCGTTGGAGCCAGTCGTCCAGGCATTCACTTCCATTGGTCCGATAAGGAACAGCCTTTCCTGAACCAGGCCACGAGAAGCTACTAATCCTCCCCAAGGCTCCGTCTGTGCCCGCATGTAGTGGTACTCCCTCCGTCTGCCGACAGGCTAAGCCCCGCCTGAGGAGATTTCACACCCCGCCCGACAGATCATCGAGCCAAAGCTCATCACCGCACGGACGAGAATGCTACTAATCAACCGACGTGACAAACTCTCGTCCGACAGCTCGGTGGGCCGACCTCCACACACGAACCCACGGCAGCCTACAAAAGGGAGGGACGTTTCGCAACCCGCCCCGGACGGTGCAGACCCCTCCTTTCCTTCCAAATGGCAGGACGCTCGAAATCCCAAGCATGCAATCACAAGTCCCCAGTGGGACACACATAATACAAGTGTCTTTCCCATGGTGCACCCAGCGCTTCCTACCCATCCCTCTCAGATTTTCTCTCAGGACAGTGTATGCCACTCACCCTTATCTTCCATACACAGTGCCTGGTTCCTTTTTCGTGACCGTCTTCAAAGGTGAGCTAGTTTTTCTCAGAGTTTAGCAACTCCCTTCATTCCCTTTGTCTTTGCTTGTCTGTCCGTTCATAGGGCAGGATTGTTCCTTCTCGATTACCTTTTGTGTTCATATGAGGTTCATTCAAGCATTAAGTGCGGTGCGCAGAGCCCGTTGGGCTCCGAAGAAGGAGAAGAGAGGCACCCGTGTTGGTCGGATCACTCCGCCGCGGGATTTTCATTGGACCCCGGACTGGCCCGGAATCCCAACCGCCTGCCAGGTAACTGGAGCCCTTCTTTCACACSAAGAGGAAGGGTCGACCTGCGGCTTGCCCAAGGCTTCCCCGGTCTGACGAACATCAGCCCGAAAGAAGGAGGACTAGAGTCGTCTCCGATGGAGATGGCTAAGCAAAAGTGCATACACGCATGTTCTTCCTCCAGGCCTGGCCTTGCCATGCGCCCAGCCACCCTCAAATCTGCTTCACTCAAAGGAATAGCGCATATACAAGTCCTTATTCCTCGTCTCTACTTGTGTTCGCGGTCATGCGTCGGGCGCCCCCCTCGAGATCGCATGGGTCAATTTAACCCAATACCCGTCACCTCCACCATTTTTGTAGGGGCCGTACCCTGAAGGACTTTCGAGCCTAAGTCGACCCCACTGCGGGTCCCAGTTGGCTCGACCCGCCCACGCTCATGCTCAGGGCGCGGGTCATTCGTCCCAGGGGCACCCCCACCTAGTGCTTTGAGATGAATGGGGATGGGCCTTTTGCGAGAGGGCTTTACATTGGGGGATGTAGCTTCGCTCTCGATGGTAGCTCTTTGGTCACTCGAGGTGTTTTCTCGATTCATTTGAGTCTGACCAGGCAATTGCTCCTTCCAATATACAGGCAGTCCAGGGGGTTCGTTGAGGGCTCATCTTCTTTTCGTGTGTAGGCCAAGCGTCATCCATTGGACCACACACCTTTTCACTAAGCGTTGGGATCCCAGGTGGTTTCAAGGGCATCCTCGGGGTGCAACATCGTCGCCCGACCCCTAGCCCCTATAATTTTTTTTGCTTACAGCGTCGGCCTAGCATTCACATCATCCATGGATGCCCTTAGTCTTTTCGGGCCCGCAAGCCGCACACAAGAGAGTCACCCCATTCATTCATCACATAAGCCACACCACGCCATCCATCATTCATCCAAGCATCCAACCCCCGGACCTGTCCCATTCATGCTAAACCTATGTCCTTCCCTTGCCGATCCTCCAGCTGGATCCAATCGCGCTCAAAGACCATCCCGTGCCACTCACCTGCGCAAGGCCACACAAAGCAAAGAGCAATTCCAATCCCCATTGGGGTCAACACATCGCCCCTTCCCACAAGCCTAAGTCTTCCTTTCACTTCCGGTTCCATTATGAGTTCCCTTTCCTTCCCGCAAGCAAGCCACACGAACCCCTTAGTCATGCAGTCGAGGAAGATGGTTGAGTCAAACTGACCTTGTTGCAAAAGTAGCACGCCTTTTTTTTGCTTTCACAATTGTTCTCAATAGCCTTGTATCCTTTCCCTCTTGGTGGCACAAGGGACCGGCAACCCTTCCCTTGCCCCCGCTTTCCACCAAGTGAGGATCGGGTTCCTCTCCGTTCGTTCCCTGGCAATGTAACAGGTGAGGGTAGAGGTTACTCACATGCCATGGAGGGGGAGGGGTGACGGAAGGTTTAGGGGTTAAAGAGTTTTGAAGGAATGAAGGAAGACGGAGGGAGAGGGGGAGGGAAAGACAGAGAGAGATGGGGAGAGAGAGAGAGAGAGAGAGAGTGAGGGAGAGAGAGGGAGAGAGAAAGGGTGACAAGAAGCTTCACATCCTAATCGACCTTGCTCATTGACTTACCCTAACCGATCCTGTCCGGGGTCCCGCACTTTCCCCTTGCGACCCCCTAAGACTTTCGGGTGGACGGGTGCGGGTGACCGGGGGAGAAGAAGGGTTGGAGATGGCCGGCTATGGTGGACGGGTGTGGGTGATGGAGGAGGAAGAAGGGCTGGCGGTGGTTGGTCATGGTGGACGGGCGTGGGTGACGGAGGAGGGAGAAGGGTTGAGGGTGGCCTGCTATGGTGGACAGGTGTGGGTGATGGAGGAAGGAGAAGGGTTGGGGGTGGTCGGCTATGGTGGACGGGTGTGGGTGAGGGACGAGGAAGAAGGGTTGGAGGTGGTCGGCTATGGAGAACGGGTGTGGGTGATGGATGAGGAAGAAGGGTTGGAGGTGGTTGGCTATTGTGGACGGGTGGGGGTGATGGAGGAAGGGGAAGGGTTGGGGGCGTCCGGCTATGGTGGATGAGTGTACGTGATGGAGGCTGAAGAAGGGCCGGGGTGTCCGGCTATGGTGGATGGGTGTAGGTGATGGAGGTTGAAGAAGGGTCGGGGTGCCCGGCTATGGTGGATGGGTGTAGGTGACGGAGGTTGAAGAAGGGTCGGGATGCCCGGCTATGGGGGATTAAGGTAGGTGATGGAGGAGGGAGGAGAGTCGGAGTGTCCGGCTATGGTGGATGAAGGTAGGTGATGGAGGAGAAAGGAGGGTTGGGGCGTCCGGCTATGGCGGACGGATGTAGGTGATGGAGGAGGAAGGAGAGTCGAAGTGTCCGGCTATGGTGGATGAAGGTAGGTGATGGAGGAGGAAGGAGGGTTGGGGCGTCCGGCCATGGTGGACGAAGGTAGGTAATGAAGGAGGA